GCGAGCGCTGGCTTCGCGGATGCCTTCCTTAAATGGCTGATTCGCGTTAACTGAGGCAGGTCGTGCGCATGCTGCTTTCCTGGCCCCTCTCCCAGCACTTGAAGGAGGGAAAGGCGGTAACTTGCGCTGGTGGACTGCTTGAATGGCACGCTAAAGGACAAAGGCCTACCGGTCACAATAGTCATTCATCTAATAAATTTGAATACGTTGAAGCAAGTTGTTGCCCTGGGGGGGAAGGACGGCTGCTTCTGGATTTGCAGCAGACTTCTGCATCTGTCTGGCACTTGCTCAAAAGCAGTTAGCTCCTACTAGGGTGAGCAGCCACAAGCCCTGGCCCTGTTGTCCAAGATGGAATCCTGTGACACTCAAACCTTAAACCACTTTTTCTGCCTTGCAGAAGTAACCGAAAGGCATTCAGTTGTGTGCGATATACTACTTGTATTTGTTTATCTTCCTTTCTTACTGTTTTTTGGTTTGGGGTTTTTGGTTGGTTGTTGGTTTTGGTTTTTATTGGGGGGGGGGGGGGGTTTTTTTTTCTTTATTGTTGAGTAGATTACAATTGGTGGAAGCCTCTTTGTGCAGATGCTGCCTAGCTCCTGCTGGTTTGGCTGTCAGCACTGCCTTAACTGTTTCTACACGTTTGTGTTTTCAGTAACTGAAGCACTTTCTAAGGTACTCTTTAGAAGTTCAAAATTGTTGTGGTATAAACAATGTGGTATCTCATTCAGTGACCTGCTTAACAGCAGCCAACACAACTCTGCTTTTAAAGAAAATGCAAGAAAACCCAACATATGCTATCAGAATAATAAGAGTCTGTATTGGGCTCTTCCAGACAACCCGGTCCTAACACCTGAAGGTTTATGGATCTTCGCTTGTTTTGGTTTTCTTATACCCAAAGGAAAACATAATAGTTATTAGTCACACTGATTTTAGCCTTGTCATTTAGGTTCGTATTCAGTAGGACAGGTTACAGTTGGAGGAAAATTCTCTCAGGCTCCTGAACAAGTCACTTTTGAACTTCTAGGAAAGAAGGAGAAATTTAATCGAAACTATTTTTTTTCCTCCCATAAGTGAAATAATGGGAAGTTCCCAAAGAAAAGTTTGAGATGTGATGCATTAATTATATAATACGATGGCCCCAATGACATTCATTTCAGTAATTTCCACACCAGTATCTGGTAGAGATATTGTAAACTGCCTGAAGTGGTAAACAGTTAAAAGCCAGAAGCCCAAATAATTTCTGCTGTAAACTTCCAAAAGAACTGGCTTACATGTCTGGCTCACTTTTTTTTTTCCTGTAATCTGATTATTGGGATAATTTCAGAATATATACACTTACTTAACACTCAAAGAATGGGAGGAATAGCCTGGATATTTATATGCCAGAAAACCTAAAATTATTCAGCAGCAAGATAGTGAAAGACAAAGTACAGAATTTACTCAGTTATCAAACAGTTCAGTTTTGCTGTGCTCTCTGAGGTTTTGTCAGGCAAGCAGAACTTTTTAATACTGAGTTTTGTTAAAACAGATGAGTATGTGTGTGTAATCAGACACCACAAACCTGGCTTGCAAGACATTCTGATGCAAAAATACACACTGACTGAACTGGCTGGTACACCTCATCCATTGTTGTTAGTTAACTAGAGCTCCTTAGTCAAATGCTCCCAGGAAGTCAGAGTGGCAAGTCCTGGAACCAAGCCTTGTCATCAGTGACCAGCAAATAAAAATAATAGTGCTGGAAAAAGTATTTTATAATAAAATTTGGCAGTCATTCGGACTCCCTGGTAGGACACACCTGCTCAAGTACAATGCACTTAGGAACAGGCAGATACCAGCCCCCCTTGGGGAATTCCTTTCAAATCTAGCATCCTCTGGCACGTATGAAAGTGAACTTAAATGGTCTAGTCTCCTTTGTGTGATTTTTGTTACAGTGTGTAGCTCTGAGTTCCCTTCTTTTTCCATTTCTGATTGGGAAAAGCCTTGCTGTGTAACTCTCTGTAACTTTTTACTGAGTTTCTCCTACTGTCCTTCTACCGTGATTTGAGACAGAATTTAAAGAGCTGAAAACTGTATTCCAGTCATGGGAACACTCTGTCATGGTACAAAAATTTACTGTCTTCAGGTATTTTCCTTGTAAATCCTAGTATTTGCCATTTTTCCGTCACTGCACTTGGTGAGCACTGAACTGGTATCTTCACCAATACATCCAAATTGTGGGTGAAGATTAATTTAAGCTAGATAATACGCTAAGGCATTTGTTTCCAGTGTGTCTTACCCCGCAGTTACCTCCATGAATATTGCATGTTGTGTGCTCACCTTGTATGTTAGCATTGAAAATGTTGAATCCAATTAGCAGCACTGGAAATGGTGTTCCGTAGCATGCTTGCAAACTTTCCGTGCTGTGTAACCTGTTAATTAGATCACAGATTGTGTACACTTCAAACGTCTTTCTCATTTGCTCAAATTATTTGCTGTAGCCAAGTGAAAATTACTACAGAAATAAAGCAAGCCACAGACTGTACAAGCATCTAAGTCTTTCCTGCAGAAGAACAAGTTTACAGATCCTGACATTTGGAACCGTTATCTGTGCCATAATTACTGTTTCAGTAGACTCACTGAAGTATGAAAAATGAGTGCATCTGTTTTGCAGGAAATCATCTTGAATACTAGGTGCAGTATTGCATAATTTGCGTTCCCCTGAAGTTAATTGAATAACTCAAAATAGTAATTTCTGTTAAAATCTTTAAGGGGAGACTGACAGTGAAGTTAAGTTGGATTCCTTCCTTGCTCTTTAATTGGGGTATTTCAAATCTTACTAATAGCTTGCATTGAGAATGGAATAAGTAAATGCACTAATGGCGTGGCTTTTATAGACTGACTTTATTGCTTTGCTTTTGCATTTAAATAGATATTACCATTTCTGTGGTATCTTTTTCAGCACAGTAGCTCCTTTCCTGGTGATTTTAGACATTTTAAAGTTACGTAAGGATTGATGGGAACCAAAAATTTTTAACACAGCTTATGTGAACAGTAAATGCTATTAGGAAAATGCCTGTGTCCTTGTTTGCTAGTTCAGTGTTCTAATATTATGCTTCTTTTTAAAGCTTCATTCAGATAAATAACTTAATGCAAACAAAAAAATCATTCAAATTTTGCAAGTAACTTGTTTTCTTGGTGTTTCTTTTGTTTTTCAGTCTCACACAATTCTACTTGTCCAGCCTACCAAGAGGCCAGAAGGCAGAACATATGCTGATTATGAATCGGTGAATGAGTGCATGGAAGGTGGGTGCAGACATGGTAGTCAAAGCTGTTGTTAAAACCCCATTTTGACATATTCCCAGACTTACTCTGTAAGAAAATAAGTTGCTGTTTATGTTTTCCCAAGGTAATTTAAAAAAAAAAAAAAAAGTAAAAATGTCTCATTATTTTACTTACTGATGTTTTAGCAAACTAAAAATTGGTTATTTTCAATTTCTAAAACTTCATTTTTACATTAAATGTCTCTTTTTGATTTAACTAGGTGGAACCACATACAATTCATGAGAGTAGGCAATATTCTCGGTGGGGCCATGCAGCAGATGTGCCTTAATGCAACTCTTGCTAATTTTTGTTCTAGCCATGTAAAGGAAAGTTTGCTACTGGAAATAACTTATAAAATGAAAGTTTGTATGCAATTGATACATAATTTGCAGCCTTGTAGCATATATGCCAGAGCAAAAGTCCTGTGTGACTTTGAGACACACAGTGAGCTGGGAAAGAAGATTGAAATGCTACAGCTGTATGATTTAAATGTGGACATTCACTTAACATTAAGAATTCTAGTTCGGGAAGTTTTGCCAGGCAAACAAAAGCATAATAAAGACCATGTAAAGCCTCTGTGCTCACTTTCATGCTATATTCTTCTCAAATGTAACTGAATTATTTATGAGCTAGCTTAAATAAAACTGATTTAAATTCATTTACAGGCTTGTGCTGTCACTCTTATCTCAGAATCCCTGTTTGACTCTTTCATCAAGAGTGATCTTTCTTCTGAGATTTGAGTACCTGTATTTGACACTAGTTCTTCTCTTAGGTGTTTGTACAGTAGGAATATATGGTGCAATTGCTGTCTTAAAATTATCAGAAGGAATTTCATGTTTCCATTGGAGCTTACTGCATGGAAATTTACATCTTTGACAGAACTAAAACTTCTCCCTCTTGATGCTTCTTTCCGTGCATCTTACCTGATTTCATAGTATTATGTTTCAATGCAAATAGCTAAAGCAAAAGCATTTCAAATCCTCAGAATCTGAGTAAGATGGTTATGTATCTGTTTTCATGGTAGTCATCTCTAAACTTTCCTGATATCTGTGGTTCAATAGCTGAAGAAGCTTCAGCAAATACAGTTGGTTTTTTTTAATGTTGCTCTTGTTTCTCTGTAGGAGTCTGTAAAATGTATGAAGAGCACCTGAAGAGAATGAATCCAAACAGTCCATCCATTACGTATGATATCAGCCAGTTGTTTGACTTCATTGATGACTTGGCAGACCTCAGCTGTCTTGTGTAAGTTGAGTTGTACAAGTCCATTTCAGTGACTTAAAGAAGTCAGAAATCTTCCATCTAAACTCTTACATGTTCTGTGTGAAATCTTGTAAGGTTCTGGGTGATGTTTGCAGTAACTGTTTGTAAGGCAGCAGTATTGCACATGGCATGCCATTTCGACCGTGCCAATTAACTACATTGGAATGAAGCATCTGTAAAGAAAGCTTAGAAACTGACAGTTCCACTTGGATTTTAATTACCTTGAAGCTTCCAACATTTCAAATACTAACGTCCAGCAGTCGAATACAACTACATACATTATTTATTTATGCTAGAATCTCTTTAAATTTGAGCTGTATCTGCAGTTGGTCCAATTCTTAAGGAAGCAGAATGATTACGGAATTTTATTCAGCTGAGGGCTGTACTGGTGGTATGGTAGAAGTCTACAAGAGTGCATGCAGCCAACTGTTTATTTTGATCAAGATACAGCAAGATGAAAGTTTTTGTAAATCCTAATGAAGTGATCTGTTCCTAACAGATCTGTCCTTCAGAGAGCCCTAGCTAATTGTTTTAAGTGTTCTTGTGAATACATGATCTTCAGTTCTCATCTGTGTTTTAAAGTTATGGGCAAATGTAGTCTTGTGTACTTTCAACTCTGACTGCACTGTAAAATCAGATGTTAAATTTCACTAGTCAAAACACAACATTGTAACTAAGTCACTTAATCCAGATCATGAGTACTTTACACACCATAAATTTCAAGGTGACAGTTTGACATGACAGTGATACCAACTTCACAAAAATTTCAGGGGAATAAGGATACAAACCTCATATTCCAGTAACAAAAGACATAGTATTAGGCTTTTGAATATCAGAATTCTAGAATTACTGCTGCATTTGAAACCCCACTGCAAGTACTTTTGTAGCTGCACAGTGAACAGCCTTTGACAGTTAATACATTTAAAATAAAAGTCTATTTAAAAAAAAAAAACAAAACATCAGATTGCTTTCCTTTGCATTCTGATGTATAGAACCTTATCTTACTGGTAGTGACTTATAAATGACATTTAACAATGTTTTCAGTAGAATAAGTAAAACAGGATTACAGTTTCTGTGGTTACTTTTCCCTAGACATTCTGCCACATTTTATCTTCAGGTGTCAAAGTGCTGGGCTGATGCAGTTTGAAAGACACACTTTGTTTTAGTTTATCTAACAGACTGAAGGTAGCTACTTCAGGAAGTAGTAACTTTTCTAGCAATCTTGTGCCTTTCTTAATTAGGCTTCTAAACTTGTCGTCCTGCCAGTTCTACTTCAGCTTATGGTTTTCCACCAGATGGCACACATAACACATAGCGTACCAGACATGTCTTGTGTTCATGAAGATTCCTGAAGTACCTGCTATCCGTTCTTGTGGTGTAACACTGTGAATGGATTGGGGTGGGAGGATAATTCAGTAACTTTTCCTGAATCTAACATTTCTTACACTGCACTGGAAATACTACTATTACTACATCAATATATACTAAAACTTTCTATGGCCTTGAACCAGTCATATTGGGTTTTAAATAACAAGGTTTTCTTAGAAACAGTATGCTTAGGGATTTTTCTTTAGGGAAGAACTGTAAATTGTTCTACATTGGGTTGACTCTGGATTTTTATTTAGCTTCTTAGATTAATGAAATCTCCACCTTCTTATCTGGTTAGAAATACACGTACCAAGATTTAAAAACTGAATAGAAGTTCAATAGTTCTTTAAGTATGCAGTGAAAATACCATCTTCATCAGTAAAATGTTCAACTTACTTCAACAGCTAAGGGGGAAAGCAGAGCATGAATCTACACAGATAACTTCACACAGTTTGCTTTCACTTTTAGTCTAATTATGCTTCAGTTCAACAGTGTCTTGATTGACTGAGTTTTTGGCCCTGGCAAGAAATCTTGCTGGTGGACTACTTTTATCAGCTATTCCTGAGTAGCAAAGAAGATGAGTCTGTGGGTTCTTGTTTTCAGTTTGCTTTTTATGAAGTGTCCTTTTTTGGTAGAGGTAAGCTTGCCATCACTACCAGCTGGCAAGAATCCTTTGTCATCCATCTGTGAGTCTACCTTTGCTCCTGAGAGACTGCAGTTTTCAAAAAATTCCAATTGCTAGTGGAACACTTGAAAGCTTACATGAACACTTGTGTGAAGTAGTATTGAAAAAGTACTTGGCTTGTTAAGATAAATTGGATCATTTCCTGGTGAAACTATTCTTCATTCTGAGCTTGAGAATACTGAGGTGCTCTATTTTTTGTCTCCCATAAGCAGTTATGTTCAGGAATTAAAATGTGAACACATTGTGATCCAGGCACTTAGTAGTCCTTGGAGCATCTAGTTTTATTTCAGGTTCTTAATGATTTGCTGGGTAACTGTTTTTTAGCAAACAGGATGAATCTGTTTGATAAGCCACAATTCCCATCTTCTTCTGATATTACTTGTGTTCTGCACACAGCTTTCTGCCTCATACACTTGAGGATGCTTAATTGTTTTGTGAAGTTCTTCTGGTAAATGTACTACAGGGCAGACTAATACTACATTTGTGGTTTTGGTTTTTTTTCCCCTCTCTAGTTACCGTGCTGATACTCAGACATACCAACCGTATAATAAAGACTGGATAAAGGAGAAGATCTACGTCCTCCTCCGCAGGCAGGCCCAGCAAGCCAGCAAATAATGGGGGCACCATCATTAAACGGGTTTGGGGGAGGGCTTGGACAACAGGCGTGTACAGAGTGTAGTAGTGAACGTTTTGTATTATAGTCATCCTGTTGCCATCTTACTAAACTCTTTAGCCAGGACTGAATGTATTGTTAGAGATGCAAGGATTTTGTTGGGTTTGACTTTTTTTTTTCAGTGTAAATGGAGAAGAAAGTGTAACATCTTCAGCAGAGTTTTAATTTGTTTTTTTCCTCTTGTTAGCTAATGGTCCTACCTTATTTGAACCCCGAGGGCTGTTCACATTGTACTTTGCCACATTCACTGTATGTGCCCTTTGGTGGGGTTTCCAACATTCAGTTATGTCCTCCAGATGGTCTTAATGGGGAATAAAAAGATACCCTTTAGTTAAACTTGAGTGCTGAATTTTGTGGGTTTTGCCAAACAACAAATTAAATCTTTCTTGCCTGCTTGCCAAGGAACAGGGCTCACAAGATTACAGAGGGCTGAACCAACAGTTGTTTGATGTGTTACAGAATGGCTTGAAGTCTGGCCTGCCAAAGTAACTTCTCTGGCCTGATCTTGAGTACTGTCTTTCCTGGGGATCTTTAGGAAGCACAGCAACCCTCTTGCACTCTAAACTTGATCTTTATAAGAGGCATTTATATTCAGGTAAGTGTGCCTGCTCTGGGATAGGTGATGCATAAGAGCAGGCTGAATGTATCACACCACAGACCTCCTGAATTAGTCTACTTCCAACCTTCCCCTAAGAAAGGAATAGGCAAAGCAAATTGCTTCGATGGGGATCTGCCCTAAACTGCATTTTCTCTTTACAAAGGATAAGGACTTAACTGTTTGCATGCACTGCATGCAAACATACCTGACACTAGCTATCATCTTGAATGCTGATGTCTTCAGAGTTCTGCTGTACTGAAAAAGCTTGCATTAGGACACCTTGCATAAAGGACACGTTAGACACCACAGCAGGTAGAAAAGCAAAACTGGCTTGGTACTTTGTGCCTTTTCATTAGTCCAGAGTTTGCCTACTATAGGTACAGATGTGAGTCTTGGACTGTGCAGGTATACTCAACCAGGAGCAGTTGCAGGATTAACAAAGTAACATAATTCTCTCCAGGGTACATAACAACTCCCTACTACACATCAATAGTTTCCGATGGACCTCACAGCAAATGGATTGGCTAAAAAGAATCTCAGGTCAAATTGACTGTCTGTAGCAAAGCTTTAATGAAAATAGCTTCACTTAAGTGATAAGTAATAGCTGCTGAAGACTTGGAATCAAATTACTGAAACAACAGACATTCTTGGACAAATACTGAGAGGGGCTGTTAAATGCCTCAACACAAATGAGACTTAGGCCTACTAGCTGTACAGTTGTAGTGACCAGGAATCAATTCAATCAGCTAATGTCAAAACATGCTTCCTTTATAATAGCGAATTTTAAAACATAATAGGTCAGAACTATATTAATCGACTTAAGGTTACTTAAATCTCTAAATACTTCTGTATGGAAGTTTTATATCCAAATGCAGCTTGACACAGTAAAACTTTAAAAATTCACTGTTGCCCCATATAATAACATTCAGGTTTAATATAAGCAGTGTTATTTAAACAGCTTGTGTAGCTCATCTTCCTGTACAGCAAGTAATAAGATATGTCTGAGGTTAACTTCTGGTAAATGTTTGCAGTATTTTTGTAAGAATTCCAATATTCTCATGGTGGAGCATAGAGGGTGCTAAGTAGGATGAGATTTTACAGTCTTTAAATGATGCCAAATATCCCTTCTCGCTTCCAATCACATTAAAAAGTTATTAAATATTTTCCTCATACTTGTTTTTGATTTAAGGAAAACCAGCAACCTGGGCTCTTTCCC